TGGAGTGTGATGTGGTCATAATGGAAATTATGGGGCTTTGTAAAAAAAATGTTGGAGGTTTATTAAGTGAGAGTGAGGAAAGAGTGTGTTCACAATGGGGGCATTGTGATAGCGTCATAGAGAATCGTGATGTCATACTGGGCATCGTGATGTCATACTGGGCATCGTGATGTCATAGTGGCACATTTGATAACACAGTGGGCAATGTTGAGATCACAGTGCTGCATAGTGACAGCGTAAATGAACAGCGTTATGCCACGGAAGTGGACATCATGGGGAATTGTGAGGTCATGATAGGAAACTGTGATGTCACCATAGAGTGGCACGACGCCACAGTAAGATGCATGAGGTCAATTTCAAAATAAACCTCCATAGGCTTAAATTCACCACCCCTACCTCTTTCCAAGTTATTTAAGAGGAAGCTAAGGCTGAGTTCAGGCTCTAATCCTGGCAAAGTACAGCATGCCTCTCTTATTTATAGGACATTGTCCTATTATCTTACCTAACTACAACACAGCTATCACAAAGATAAATTTATCTCCACAAAAATATTATTTAATGACATTTTGAGAGTTTAATGTTATTTACATGTTACTGAAGATAATATATAAGCCAGCAAGTGATGCATGCAATACAGTGAACCCACAGGGACTTGCAGTGTAAACAAGCTGAAACAGGCATCTTACAAAGTACTTTTTCTATGCATAGGGCTCTAGAAAGTGTAGCAGGGTCTCTTCAAAGACTTTCTCCTTATAAGTATGGTAATAGGAGGGTGTGGTGAGGTCATAAAGGAGTATGATGTAGGAATTATAATGTGATGGTGAAGCTTTCTAAAGCCAGTGTCACAGGGGGGAGTGGTGGCATAGTGGGGGCATTGAGGTGGCATAGTTGAGCTTTGTGATGCCGTAATGGGCCTTGTGATTCTGTACTGGTGTATTTCACATCACAGTGGGGCATTCTGAGGTCACATGGATGCATAGTGACTGCATAGAGGAATAGTGATATGCCCTAAAAATGATGTTGTGTGTTCCTGATGAGGGCAATGTGAGGTCAAAATGAGTATTGTGAGGTCACAGTGGAAATTATGACATCACAGTGGCACATTATCATGTCACAATAGGGCACAGGACTATCACAGTGGAGCACTGCTCTGTCACAATGGTGCACTGTAATGTCAACATGGGTTGACACAATGTAGAATTATGATATCATAATGTATAATTGTGAGTTCCTAATGGGAAACTGTGAGGTCATGATGGGGAACTGTGAGGTCATGATGGGAAGCTGTGAGGTCATGATGGGAAGCTGTGAGGTCATGATGGCGAACTGTGAGGTCATAATGGAGTGTTGTGATACCACAGTAGAATGCAAACAGTCAAAATAGGGCATGATTATGTCATTGTGGTGCCATAGTGTGGTATATCATGGTATGTCACAATGAACAATTATGATACCCTAAAGTTTGATGATGTTGCTATAATGAAGGCAACATGAGATCATAAATTGGAATTGTGGGGTCATCCCAGGGAACAGTGCTGTCTCAGCTGGCCATTGTGAGGTCACACCACGTATGGCACCACAGAAGCTCATTATGATATACAAATGGAGCACCGTGCTGCTACAATTGGGGCCCTGTGATGTCATGCTAGGCTCCTTTGATGTCACAGTTGGCAATTTTAATGTTATTAAAGAAAACTATGATGCCATAATGGGGCACTGTGATGTCATAATGGGGAACTGTGAGGTCTCAACAGGAAATTGTGATATCGTGATTGTGGTGCTCTGACGTCATGATGAAATGTATGAGGTCAATGGAAAAGCAAACATCCATGTGCTTAAATTCACCACCTCCATCTTCTGAAATGTTTAAGAGTAAGCCAAATCTCACCTCAGCTCTTTATCTTTAGAACTACAGCATCGGGGGCCGGGGAGATGGCTCAGTAGAATAAGTGCTTCCCTGGTGAGTACAAGAGCCTCAGTTCAATCCCCGGTTCCACCCCCCCCCCAAAAAAAAATTAACTACAGCATGCATCTCTTATGAAGAGGACTTTATCCTATTACCTGTCTTACCCACAACACAGTTATCACACTGATAAATTTATATTCACAAAAATAATAATATTAATGACATTTTAAATGTTTAATGTTTTTTTAAAATTTTTTTATTTTTTAAACTTTATTTTTATTTATTCATGTGTGTGTGTGTGGCCAGCTCAGCCCACTAGGGGGCGGGGCTGGCTGGCATGTGGTGCTGGGGGATTGAACTGCGGTCCCTGTGCTTTGCTAAGTTTGTTCTAAGTAGGTGCTTTAGACCACTGAGCCATCTCACCAGCCCCTTAAATGTATAATGTTATTTACATGATATGAATATAATGTATAAACCAGCAAGTGCTGCATTCAAACTAACATTCAGGAACTTGTTTGAGAAAACAAGGTGACACACATTGTCCTACAACTCCAAATCCAGTACTTCTTCCATGCATAGAGATCTACTAAGTATAGTAGGGTCTTTCCAAAGACTCTTTCATAATTATGACAAAAGTGGATTGTGATGAGGTCATAAAGGTGTAAGTTGTAGTCATAATGGACTATTGTGACTATAATGATGGAGCTTTGTGAAGTCATAATGGGGAAAAGGTTGGGTCGTAATGGGGGCATTGTACTGGCACGATAGAGTACCGTGGTGTTATAAGGGGTGCTGTGATGCCGTAATGGTATATCTGACATCACAGTTTGGAATGTTGAGCTCACAGTGGGACATAGTCGCAGCATAACAGGACAATGTAGTGTCATGTCGGGCACACTGGGAGATCATAGTGTGGGCAATGTGATGTCATAATGGGAAATTGTGAGGTCACAGTGGAAATTATGATTTCAGTGGAGCATTATGGTGTCACAATAGGGCATCATGTGGTCACAGTGGAGAGTTGCTCTGTCACAGTGATGCACTTGAATGTTTTAATTGGGGCACTGTCAGGTCAGTGTGAGCCCTTGTGCTATCATAAACGATGCTTGTGTTGCCACAATGTGGAACTGTGAGCTCATAATGGGGAACTATGAGGTGAAAATGGGGTTGTTGTGATGCCGCAGTGGGATGTATGAGGTCACAACAGGGCGAGATTATGTCACAATGGGGTATTGTGGTGCCATAATGTGGTGCTGTGGTGGCATAAAGAGCCATTGTGCTATCACAGTGGGGAATTGTGAATGTCATAAAGGTTGACTGGTGCTATAATTAGGGCAACGGGAAGTCCTACTGGGCAACCTGGAGGGTCATCATGGGGAATTGTGCTGCTCCAACTGTCCATTGTGAAGTCACAACATAGCCTATGGCATCACAAGAGACTGTTCTGATGTCATAATGGGGCACTGTGCTGTTATAACTGAGACACAATGATGTCATAATAGGGCTGTGTGATGCCACAGTGGACAGTTGTCATGTCGCAAATGAAAATTGTGACGGCATATTGGGCAATTGTGAGGTCGTCGTGGGGCATTGTAATGTCATAGAGGATGATTGCTATGCAATGATGGGCACGGCTTGAGATCACAATGGGGCCATTGTGAGGTCACAATGCAGAATCGTGATGTCAAAGTGAGGCTTGGTGATATCACAGTTGGGCAGCATGTGCTCACAACGAGGCATCACTGTGTTACACTGTGAGGTTACTACCGATCATTATGAAGTCACAGATGGCACTGTGGAGTTACAATGACGCATTGCCCTATCATAATGGGGTGTGAAGAAAGCACAATGGGTATGACAGTCATGATGGGGTCATAAGGAGGTCACAGTGGAGTAATATGCAGTCTTACTGGGGTATTGTGAGATCTTAAGCAGGCATAATGAGGTCATACTGGGGTAAGAAGAGGTCATAACTGGGCATTACATATGAGGTCACTGGATGATTGTGACAGCCTAACTGTGTATCATGAGGACATATGGGATGTGTAAAAGAACATAATGCCAGCTCTTTCGGGTCCTCCTTTCCAAAATGACGAAAAAAAGAAAGAACAACGGTCGTGCCAAAAAGGGCCGC